ATCTATCTATCTATCTATCTATCTATCTATCTATCTAGCTAGCTATCTATCTATCTAGCTAGCTATCTATCTAGCTATCTATCTGCAGATCAGCATTTCTCTTTCTGTTATAACTCATCTGACCTTGCATAAACGCACGTGCTGGCACATTTCTACCAGCAATTCCCTCTTAAAACATTGCATTCTCTTTGCCGATTTTTCATTTTGGGATTTTGTTTTGTTTTGTTGCATTTGTAAAGGAAAAATGTTTTTAGACAGGATCAACGATATTTATTTAAGTCTCCGAAATTTGCGCAATTGACGATTACTCTCACTAGCCATGCAGTCTCTTCATGAAATATGCACACGTCTATTTATCAAACCGGGGAAACCCGATCACTTAAGTGAACTCGCCCTTATGTTTAATGCAATACAAATTATTTTCTCTGAACTCTACGATGATTTTTTTTTTCTTATGGACATTGCAAGCTGGGTGTTGGGGACAATTCTCTTAATGTTAAATGCCATTTTCTGACAATGGCGTCGATCTCAAAAGTGCAGACATGTCAAGAGATGGGCGGTTTTTTTTTGTTAGACTATTAAGGGATCAGGGATGTTCTCACGTGGCAGCCAGAAAAGAGTAGTTTTGTCGCTTTTGTGAGTGCTGAGGGTACTTACCGTATGAATGCTTGATTGGCTATCCCTGAATAATAGAAGCTTGGGTGGTGTCTGTGAGAGGAATAGAAATATCAAAACGTGTAAGTTATTGATTTTATTTGGATGGTGGATCTGCTGTGTTAAATTTTGGCTGTATGCATAATCAAGGGTAAAATTGTTGGGTTTTTTTGTCTAGTGACACAATGTCTCAATATTGCCATAGAGTAAGAATGTAAGGGTTTGATTCCCACGATTGTTGGATCAGTCTTTCTGAAGTGCGTCACGTCTGTAGGGTTTACATTTGAGACTGGCGGGAGTTTGGAGATTGGTGAGTAAGACGTCAAAATGATTAGTCATGTGTACCCAGGTCCTTTTTCTTTTTTTACTTGACAGTCAATCTTTTTAGCATCGGTAACATCAACAATAAAAGCACCGCCAAAGACACATCGAGTTTTTGCATTGTCTAAGGAAGAGGGAAAGAGTGAAGGAGGGAGTATGTGTGTGTTTGTGTGTGTGTATGTGTGTGTGTGTGTGTGTGTGTGTGTGTGT